AAGTGCAAAAAGAATACATAGTGTTTTCAAGAATTCTACCAATATAAAACTTAATGGGGGTGAGTCCCCACCCCCATGACCTTCATGTCATCCTATGTCACTGTCAAGTTTGGTGCTGATTGATGAAGAAATGTAGAAACGTATAAGGAACAGATAAACACATTGACTTTTTTTATACAGAAGATGGGGATCTGACCCCTTCATAACCCTCCTCATATCCTATGTCACTGTCAAGTTTGGTGCTGATTGATCAATAAATGTGGATATGTAAAAGAAACTGGTGGCTGAAAGGTGCAAACAAACAAGACAAACTTAGCTTTATATAACAATCTGTTTGTCAAGTATTGAAGGATCAAAGACTTTATCAAATTAGTGTAAAATAATGAAGATGACAAAAGTCTCTCTTAACTGTGGATTTTTTCTCTCTCTCTCCATTAAAATGTGTATTACCAGACAGATAAGTGTTCACAAAACAAAAGCAATTTGCAATATATTAAAATGAATATGGACAACAAAGGAAGAATATATAACAGGAGTGAATAAATATGAAGTAACATCTTTACTGACTATCATGTAAATCGCAAGTCTCCAATTTACTGGCTGCCTTCAACTCGCTTTGGAGGTAAAGAGGGGTTCCTAACCTAATCATTTCTACAGTTAGAACTACATGCACTTTTATGCATAAAATAACTTTTTTTTTTCTTTCATTGACCGAGAAATTGATGTAACTTCACCTCACCCGTCTAAAACACATCATGTACACAAGACAGTAAACACAATACTTTGAAAATAGTTAATGTAAATTCCAGTGCAAAGTACTGTAGAACATCGTTAAACAATATACACAAGTGCTCTTTTAATATTGTTACGTTTCCGTTCGTTAGTTGATTTTCCGTAACTTCGTTCCCACGAAACTTTAGCGACACAAGTCCTTTCTTAATAAAACTGGTTTATTCTTTCTAAATATAACTTTACCGATACACTTATTTTCAACAGTCGCTCTATAACAACGACGTTAACTTCAACAATACTTTCTGACTGCAGTTCAATTACTTACTACCTACACACATTGTCACGCCGTGACCATCTTATATATACCAGCCCACCCCCAATCTAGCAAATGCTAGAGCACTCCCGAAGGAACAGGATAGTTCTAGAAACGTGGCGTGACACTAGTCACGTGACCTCGCTGACGCAACGATATTGTTAGAGGTAAATAAGTTGTGGTAGTAATCCTTACCGTAAAAACTGATTTGTAAATGACATAAATAAAACTGGTAATTACAATTCACATACTTAATTTAATTCATACCATAACAGTCATTCATATAATTTGATGTAAATATTGCTTAGATCCATACTATGTCTATCGTATCCCAGCCAGCCTGATGAGTGTTGATATTGGACGAAATATCTCATCAGCACCATATATGGCAGATGTAATGTGGTTGACTTGTATTCTTTGCTTTCATTCATACTGTTACGACATCGAGGTCACGTGTACTAGTATCACGCCACGTCGTTCTCAAACATTCACATCCTTTCCTTAAATCTCGTGATCCTTCTAGATATAGTGTAGTCTTGTATATATAAGACCGGCCACGAAGCGACAGTTTGGTTGAGTAATTGAATGTGTGCTGACAGAGAGAATATTGTTGGGCACGTGAGACGTTCTTTGATAATTATAGCGTTTGTTATAGAGCGACTGTTGAAATTAAGTGTATCATAAAGTTGTATTCGGAAAGAGTAAACCAGTTTTATTTAAGAAAGGACTTGTGTCGCTAAAGTTTCGTCGGAACGAATTTACGGAAAATTAACTAACGAACGGAGACGTAACAATACCTTCTTAGAAATTCAGCTTGTATAAGAAAACAAATATACCATTTTTTATGTACTTTTTCAATCTTCTTGTAATCTCTCTACATTTCTGATGCCTTCATCGATTTTGTCCTCAATTAGCTTTATTTTGGTTTTTAATATCATATATCTTCTAATCTTGTCTTCTTTTTCTATCCCTATATTGTTATTTTAATTTTATGTCTCTTTCTTCTTCTTGTGCTTTTAATATTGTTTTTCTTCTTGACCTTCTTTTAATGCTTTTTCTGTTCTTCTTTCAATTGTTTTATCATCTCTAAAAGTTTCTTATCTTGCTTTGTGCCCAAATGGTCATCTTCAGAGGCGTCGAAATCGTGGATGTTGAAACACCCTAACTTTTATAAAAAAAATTGATTTATGTAGCAACTGTAAATTATTGTATTATTTTTTATGGATATGCTCCTACTGAGTCTAAGTGTTTGTGAATGTAATATTAAACCAAAAACGTAGAAATTTGTTTCAAACATCGTACTGTCGCAGAAAAGTATTAAATTTGTTTGGGTAGGACAACTAAGATGATAAAAACAACACATAAGTACTTATCTAACTGTCAAATCAAATTTACTTCCTGCACTTTAAGTTCGTGTTATCTACTGTAACTGAAAATTGTATAAAAGATATTTGTTTGTTTTAATTTCGCGCAAAGCTACACGAGGGCTATCTGCGCTAGCCGTCCCTAATTTAGCAGTATAAGACAGTGTAAGGGAAGGCAGCTAGTCATCACCACCCACCGCCAACTCTTGGCCTACTCTTTTACCAACGAATAGTGGGATTGACCGTCACATTATAACGCCCCCACGGCTGAAAGGGCGAGCATGTTTAGTTTGACGGGGATTCGAACCCGCGACCCCCACATTGCGATGCCGGGTCCGATATTAAAAATGAAAAAAAAAAACTCAAACTAGAAACTTAAATAATGTGTTTTTATTTGTCAGTTTAAATTTTTGTTATTTTAAAGTCACATAGAATTAATTATGTTTTAAAGCGATATTGAAATACGTTTTAAATATCTGTTATTTTTTAATGTGTTATTTCAATATATGTCATTGAAATGAAAATCGACTAAGGTAACGTTAAACCTTGAATATTTTTAGTCTAATCCAAGTTTATTGAACATATATACTAAAGATAAAATATATGCCCTTTTTAGATATTAATGTAGATTCGTAAAGTGAGAAATATATACATTATACCATAAAACAGATTTTCAAAAGATGACGATAATTTCGATGTTTATAAAATATTGCTGTTTTGATTTGCTTGCCACTTAGTTATTAAGAAAAAAAGTTTAAATGCTTTCATCTCTCCTGAAATTATTTTTGTTGGGTAAGTTCGTTTTAGCTATTATTTTATTATTTCAAATAATTGTTCTTAGTAGAGCATTAATATTTCTAAATAAAAAGTACTTTTCGCTCAAGTAATATCACAATACATTTATTTTAACAATTCTCACAATTTCTATTTATATATTAAACCAGATGTATCGTATATATTAAGCTGTTTCCAATATCTGTTGTTGTTTTTAGTAACCCTGATTCCAGATTTTTGAAATTTTCTGATGGGTCGAAGATCTTAGATACACAATGTTTTTGCAGTCATATACATGCGATTTATTTATACAACGTGTTAGTTTTAGATACCCTCAGATAAAACACGGTTTTCAAATGAGACCCAAAACTCGAACGCTTTCTTCCTCTATCTTAACAAAAATCTGGAAACGTACAAATTATGCAAGAAGTCTAATAGGCAAAACACAGGGAACATCACCCGATAACATAATTAAAATATACAAAACATATATTAGACCCATAATGGAATATGCCAGTCCGGCATGGATAA